CATATCTTAAAAAGCCTGGCCTAATTATGCTAACATTCTAGAAGACCAAAGAATTAGTCAAGTCTATTCCTTTTGTCATTGTTTCCTTCTCTACACACATTATATTAATTTTTCTAGCATCCTAAATTAAAAAGCCTTAGATTCCAAATCAGACTCATGTATAGCCTCAAGTATTGACTAAGCTTGCCCTTCTAACAAAAGTTAATGTAGCAGAAACTGAAATTTTTGAATGATTCTAAAATTGTGATACAAATGTGATGGAAAAGTTGAGCTAGTCAGTTAACATGGCAAAACAGGAAATTAATACCTGGAAACTTATCTTTCTAGACCATGGAGTCAAATTCTGGCTCCAATGATTAGAGGGTATAAACATGAATTAATCTGGATAGTCCCATAGTTCACTGACATACACAGACTTTCATGAGTATGTATACTTTTGCATATATAGTTACTGGCTTAAAAAACAATACAGAAAGGAAAAGTAAATGGTAAATTCTTTCACTCTGATTATCCAGCTGCTAGTTCCGCAAAAAAAGTTACATCCTGACTGTGACTCACAGCCAAAAGACACTGTTTTTCCTAAGAGTTCCTATTTCATGTTCCCTAGGAAGCCAGAACTGCTAACATTTTCACATTACCATCACTGATAAAGGCACAGGAATTAAACAGTTTATTTTCCGGCTGCCACCACGGCTCACTAGGCTAATCCTCCGCCTTGCGGCGCCGGCACGCCGGGTTCTAGTCCCGGTTGCCCCGCTTCCAGGCCAGCTCTCTGCTGTGGCCAGGGAGTGCAGTGGAGGATGGCCCAAGTCCTTGGGCCCTGCACCCCATGGGAGACCAGGATAAGTACCTGGCTCCTGCCATCGGATCAGCGTGCTGTGGCTGGCACACCGCGCTGGCCGCGGCGGCCACTGGAGTGAACCAACGGCAAAGGAAGACCTTTCTCTCTGTCTCTCTCTCTCACTGTCCACTCTGCCTGTCCAAAAAAAAAAAAAAAAAAAAAAAAAAAGTTTATTTTCACAGTTGTCATGGTATGCCACAGAGAAAAATAATGAAAATCAGATTTCATATATATCTGTAGCAGTATTATTAACTATGGTTCTATTTAAGGACATTTTAGAGATGTGCAAGCATGCATACACAGATTAATTTTAAGAATAAGTGCATCTTCCAGAAAAAGTCTATGGGCCGGCGCCACGGCTCACTAGGCTAATCCTCCACCTGCGGCATCAGCACCCCAGGTTCTAGTCCCGGTTGGGGCACCGGATTCTGTCCTAGCTGCTCCTCTTCCAGTCCAGCTCTCTGTTGTGGCCTGGGAAGGCAGTGGAGGATGGCCCAGGTGCTTGGGCCCTGCACACACATGGGAGACCAGGAGGAAGCACCTGGCTCCTGTCTTCAGATTGGCGCAGTGCGCTGGCCGTAGCGGCCATTTTGGGGGTGAACCAATGGAAGGAAGACCTTTCTCTCTCTCTCTCTCTCACTGTCTAACTCTGCCTGTCAAAAAAAGGAAAAAAAAAAAAAAAAAGCCTGGATTTTCTAAAGCAAAACAAAAAAATACTAAAGATAATCAAAATAATTTCAAGGGAACAAAAATGACTGGAGTTTTGAGTGGAACAGGTTGACAAGTTAGAAATTGAAACCAGAATGGCCGGTGCCGCGGCTCAATAGGCTAATCCTCCGCCTTGCGGCGCCAGCACACTAGGTTCTAGTCCCAGTCGGGGCGCCAGATCCTGTCCCGGTTGCCCCTCTTCCAGGCCAGCTCTCTGCTATGGCCCAGGAGTGCAGTGGAGGATGGCGCAAGTGCTTGGGCCCTGCACCCCATGGGAGACCAAAAGAAGCACCTGGCTCCTGCCTTCAGATCAGCGCAGTGTGCCGGCCACAGCGGCCATTGGAGGGTGAACCAACAGCAAAAAGGAAGACCTTTCTGTCTCTCTCTCACTGTCCACTCTGCCCATCAAAAAACTGTAACAAATTAAAATAAGAAGAAAGAAAAGAAAAGAAATTGAAACCAGAATAGTTACCATTAATTCAAAGATGAGGTGCGTTTTCTCTCTCTGTACTTAAGCTGACTCCATATTCCCAGCATTTCTAGTTCTGGCTACTTCATTTCTGATCCAGCACCCTGCTAATGGCCTGGGAAGAGCAGAAGATGGCCCAAATACTTGAGCCCCTGCCACCTACATGGGAGACCTGGAGGAAGCTCCTGGCTCCTGGCTTCAGGCTGGCCCAGCCCTAGCTTTTGCAGCAATCTAGAGAGTGAACCAGTCATGGAAGATCTCTTTTTCTTCCTCTGGGTAACTCTTTCAAATAAATAAATAAATCTTTAAAAAAACAAATAAAGTCTATATAAAAGAAAACTGTGGGAAGAGAAGTCAGGTAACTTCAAGAGGTCCATCAATGACAAACTGAACACTTACATCAGAAATATTTAGGTAAAGATTGTAAAACTGCCGGCGCTGCAGCTCAGTAGGCTAATCCTCTGCCTGCGGCGCCGGCACCCCAGGTTCTAGTCCTGGTCGGGGCGCCAGATTCTGTCCCGGTTGCTCCTCTTCCAGTCCAGCTCTCTGCTGTGGCCTGGGAAGGCAGTGGAGGATGGCCCAAGTGCTTGGGCCCTGCACCGGCATGGGAGACCAGGAGGAAGCACCTGGCTCCTGTCTTCAGATTGGCGCAGTGTGCTGGCCACAGCGGCCATCTGGGGGGGATGAACCAACGGAAGGAAGACCTTTCTGTCTCTCTGTCACTAACTCTGCCTGTCAAAAAAATTTTTTTAAATAAAGAAAAGATTGTAAAACTGACACACACACACACAAATGAAAATTAAGAACAACTTATGTCAGCTGTCACAGCCCATGTTTGATGGAATTATAAAATAGACCTTATAGTACTGACACAGAAAATTCTGATTAGACAGAAATCACAAGGATAATGCAAAACAAAACTTACAGATGCTATTGACAAAAGCTCTTAACAGTTGTGATGCTGCAGATTGAAGGAAATCTATGTGAATATACTCCTAATTCAAATGGACACAGATGGTTAGTCAATACCTACAAAAACATTTTCATGCAATAATCTACTGTCCCACTCTTTGAAGATGACTGGTCCAGCAGATGGAATATCGATTCTCTCTACCTCTCTTCCTCTATCTTTGTAACTCTCCCTTTGCAATAAATAAATCCTTAAAAAAAAAAAAAAAAAGATGACTAGCCCAAACTGTAGTATCTATGTATAAACAGCATGCTTGAAGAATGGATTCTTTGATGATACTTCCCCTAAAACATTTTATTTGACCTACAAGGTTATTTTAAAAATAGAAATGAAGGGAGCAGGTGCTGTGGCAAAGCCTGTTAAGCCACCTCCTGCAGCGCTGGCATCCCAAACGGACACTGGTTCAAGTCCTGGCTGCTCCACTTCTGATCCAGCTCCCTGCTAAGGTGCCTGGGAAAGCAGCAGAAAATAGCCCAAGTGCTTGAGCCCCTGCACACCCATGTGAGAAACCCAGAAGCAGCTCTGGGCTCGTAGCTTCATACTGGCCCACCCCCGGCCGTTGTGGCCATTTGTGAAGCGAATCAGCAGATGGAAGACTGCTCTGTCTCCCCACCACAGAACTCTCCCAAATAAATAAAATGAATAATAAATCTTTTTAAAAAACAGAGGGTCAGAGCTGTGGCATAGCAGGTTAAAGCCCCAGCCTGAAGCACCGGCATCCCATATAGGTGTCTGTCTGAGTCCTGGCTGCTCCATTTTTTTTTTTTTTTAAAGACTTATTTATTTATTTAAAAGCCAGAGTTACACAGAAATAGAAGGGGAGACAGAGAGAGAGGTCTTCCATCCGATGGTTCACCCCCGATTGGTCTCAATGGCCGGAGCTGTGCCAATCTGAAGCTAGGAGCCAGGAGCTTCTTCCGGATCCAGCTCTCTGGGAAGGCAGCAGAAGATGGCCCAAGTCTTTGGGCCCCTGCACCCGCATGGAAGACCTGGAGGAAGCTCTTGGCTCCGGAATGGCCCAACTCCAGCCGTTGTGGTCATTTAGGGGAGTGAACCAGCAGATGGAAGATGTTTCTCTCTCCATCTCACCCTTTCTGTAACTCTGCCTTTCAAATAAATAAAAAGTTACACAGAGAGGGAAGAAGAGGCAGAGAGAGAGGTCCTCCATCCACTGGTTCACTCCCAATTGGCCTCAATGGCCAGAGCTGTGCCAATCTGAAGCCAGGAGCCAGGAGCTTCTTCTGGATCTCCCATGTGGGTGCAGAGGCCAAAGGACTTGGGCCATCTTCTACTGCTTTCCCAGGCCATAGCAGAGAGCTGGATCAGAAGTGGAGCAGCCAGGACTCGAACCGGTGCCTATATGGGATGCTGGCACTGCAGGCAGAGGCTTCATGCACTACGCCATAGCGCTGGCCCCTAAATAATTAAATCTTAAAAATGTGATGCACAGGGCAAGTACTTCTCAGCTCCCTGCAGGCTTCCTTCACACACTGACTAATACCCGAGTGATTTATGTAGGCACTTCAGTATCTGACTCTCGAAGTACATTATCTTTGGAAATAGCATGCTATTAAGGTTGATAATCCTTGAGGAGGTACACATTCAGGAATTCTGTGGTCAGTCTTTAAGAGTTACACTTCAGAGCTTCTTATACAGCCTTTGTAACCCAGGATGGGTACTGACGGCCAACCACCCATTAGTGAGCCATACATAGCAAGCAAGAGACTAAGTAACATATCTCTAACAAAAGGGACTAATAAACCATTCATTTAATAAATATTTACTAAGGATCTCCTATGTGCTAAGCACTCTTCCAAGAATATAACCTGAGAACGGAACAGTAATATTTTTGCCCTCATGGTGCTTATATTCTTATTTGTCTACATGGTTAGTATATAACTTCTACTAGGCCCAGCATTCTCTTGGTCTTCAATTACAAAGCTAGTGATCAAGTTTATTTTATAAAATTAATTTATAAGCTTCAAAGTTTTTATAGAGTTATTAATTCTTACCTGGTCTTGTGTTGATAATAATGTAAATAGAGTTTCCAATGCTGCTCTTCGAACTGATGATATTGTGTGATGCAAAAAAGGCCAAACACGTGGAACTAAAACTGTGAGTGACTGTTGAATACTGATAAAGAAAACACAAATTAATCTTATTCTTAGTTGAAACTCTATAGATACATTATCTAAATATTATTTTCATATGGATCTAGTGATGTTGACAATGCTTTTGATAATTTCTAAAAAATACAATTTTCACATGAACATTTCACTTTAACATCCTCATTCAAAACTGCTATTATAGCACCAGATGAGGCAGAGCAAAAGCAAAGAACTGCAGAAGGGGCCAGTGTTGTGGAGCAGATTAAGCCTCCACCTGTGAATCTGACATCCCACATGGACGCTGATTCCAGTGCCAGCTGCTCCACTTCTGATTCAGCTTCCTGCTAATGCACCTGGGAAAGCAGCAGAAGATGGCCCAGGAGCCTGGGTCCCTGTACCCACATGGGAAACCTAGAAGAAACTCCAGACTCCTGGTTTTGGCCTGGCCCAGCCAAGCCCTGGTTGTTGTAGCCATTTGGGAAGTAAAGAAAGATACTTTGTCTCTCTTCCTCTCTCTGTAACTCTGCCTCTCTTCCTCTCTCTGTAACTCTGCCTTTCAAATAAATAAAAATAAGTAATCTTTTTTAAAAAAAAGTGCAGAAATCTGAAAATCTGAACATTAGGTTCTCCTGTGGCACTAATACTATGAATTACCTTTATCAAGTTAGAACTATCCAAAAAATTACAATTTAACTATTCTTACTCAGGAAAATGACATATGTATCCTCGCTAGTAGTTGGCCCACACTATCAGGATTGCTAATCTTTAGCACTAACTAGAATACGCTTTTGGAGCCAACTCTGCCATGTATCAAATTACCAACAGGTGCTACGTAGAAGCTGAGAAAACTGTTACCTTAATTTAGCATTATTAAGTTAAGAACACTCAAATTTCTTTCTCACAGATTAAATTTTAAATGAGGAAGTAAGCAAAGCCAAACCTAAGTTATCTTGAACTACAGGATTCATGTCACATTCCCAAGTCATTCTAAAAGTCACCTAGAATTAATTCTGCCACAGCAGCCACTGAAAAGCATCAGCCATGGCTCCAGGCTACCTTATGGCTGGGGGCCTTAACAAAAGCCGAAAGGTGACCACTGCAGCAGGTGCCTCATCAGGAACACCATGTCTGTGTGGGACTAAATCCAGGTATGTGAGCTGCTCACATTCTCCAAGGACATAGGGTCCCTCATGTTCATCAAGAAAAGGGTAGGAGGGCCACCACAGCTGTGTAGAAGGTAAAGCCACTGCCTGCAGTGCTGGCATCCCATACGGGTGCTGATTCAAGTCCTGGCTGCTCCACTTCTGATCCAGCTCTCTGCTATGGCCTAGGAAAGCAGTGGAAGATAGCCCAAGTCCTCAGGCCCCTGCACCCATGTGGGAGACCCAGAAGAGGCTCCAGACTCCTGGCTTTGGATTGGCTCACCTCTAGCTGTTGCGGCTATTTGGGGAGTGAACCAGTGGATGGAAGATGTTTCTCTCTCTCTGCCTCTGCTTCTCTGTAATTCTGCCTTTCAAATAAGTAAATAAATCTTTACAAACACCCCCCCCCCAAAAAAAAAAAAAAAGGGTAAGGAGACACATCCACACCAAGGGGAAGTAGGGAGAGCTAAGCAGTGTCCTGGCCACTATGAGAAAAGTATCACTAAGAAGGACTGAGCCTCTCCTCTTGCATAATAAACCCTTCAAATTCCTCACCAAAATAACAAAACAAAAACGTTACCTGGAATTAAAAGGACTCATAACTATCATCTGAAATATATATCTCTGTAGAAAAAGGCATGAACAAAAAAATGTGCCAGTATAACTATTTACTTGCTCATCCTTTGTGGTTCCCCTCAGGAAGTCTATTAACACAATTTCATTACTTACACAGGTTTGTTTATGAGCATTACTTCTTATGCTTAAACATTTACTAAATTCACATATAAAATTCTAATTTAAGCACAAGCACACACAGGCATAAAAAAAGATTCAAAATACATAAAAGCATCTTAACAAAGCCTTGTTAATAGTGTAACTATTCATGCTCCAAATGACATGCTGCATTTCTTCATACATAAGCAAGAAATTATCTGCCAAAAATCACAACATTTGAAGCACATTTTCTAATAAGGCAATTTTGAAACAAAAGATGGAAAACTGCATTATTTCACATTGAAGTAACAGAACTTTCACTACATTCTTACACGTGCTTATATTATCTAGTGTTTCTTTCACCATTCACTAAGGCCCACAGGCAAAATCAATACCACTCATTCTTTAAAATAAAAGTTTTAATGGAACATTAAAATACATTCACTCTGTTACATATTATCTATGGCTGTTTTAATATTGCAATGCCAGAGGTGTGTAGTTTCAATAGATTTTCTATGGCTCACACAAGCAAAAATACTCATTACTGAACCTTCACAGAAAAAATTTACTAACTTTTGAAAAATTAACAATCTTTGCATTTTGTAGTTTAAGGAAAGCTTTTACACAGATTTACTTAACTCCTATAGCTTTAATTAGTAATAGAAGCTTCTGAAAACTAAGAAATACTATATATGCACTACTATTTCAAGTTATCAATTCTTGTGCTTTTAGAGGTATTCATTTTGCTATTCCTATCTATGGGCTGTCCTATTAACCTAAATTCAGCATTAAAGTACTACCAATAGGTCAGTATTTTCTGAAACATTCTCTGTATGCTTTTTATAAACATACGATTTCCACTAGAAGTACTCATAGCAATAGAAATCACCTATAATCATCGAAACATGCACTGAATGCATGTAGGCAAAGAACAGAAATTAATTTTGTATTTTTTAAAAGTTGCACAATACTTTTTTTCTGTAACTCTAAGGATTCTATTAATGCAGACACTAATATACAAGAGCCAATCCAAAAGGTAGGAAATACACTAATCAGCTGAGCTTCATTTCAAATATCAGGATAAGAAAACTGGAGATAGCTTAAATTCAGTGTGTATTTTTGTCCTCCCCTTATCTCTGTCTGGGGCGTTTTATGTTTTCTCTTTCCGATTTATAATTACTGAAATAAAAACCAGAGTTAAGGAAATAAACATTAAAAAGAGAAAGTTCACAGAGGGGTAAAAGGATGTTCAATGGTAATTGTATTAACTAAGCTATTCAATAAGGCTAAAATCCAACATTCTGGGGCTAGTGGTAGAAATAATACGCGATGATTATATTTTTTAAGTAAAACTATTTTAGGATGGACACATTAATTATATAACCAAAGTAACCCAAGGGTAAGGAAAATGACCTTTCTAAAAGTTCCTGCCCTAAATGTGCTGGTGGCTAGAGAATAAAGAAAAGACTCCTGAAAATAGTGGTCTTTAGCATCCCATCTTACAGTGCTAGAATACTGTACATTTAGCTTAATTATCTGGAAAGGTGTATGAAGGCTTTTTACTTTATTTCACTAATTAGAAATAATTACCTGCATTGTTGGACCTGTGGATAAGTTAATAAGGATGAAAGAAGAGTCATAATACTATTTGTTGAAGCTGTTAGATCATCTAATTCCAGAAGAGCATCCCATAACGTATTTATAATGAAGGGTACCTACAAGATCAGTTTTCAAGAAAACAGATATCAATTTTACACAAAAATATTCACAAGCCCTGCCAGATTGTACCCCAGGAGCCACTACTGATTTAACAAAATATACACTTCCAATGACTACGGATGAATTAAAAAGGGAAGTTTTGAATGAAGTTAAGGAGACATCATTTGCCTTCAGCACTTCTTTATATTTCTCTTTTTAGTGCCATTCAACTCACTTTTGCACTTTCTACCCTAACCAGGATCATTATGAGCAGGAAATTCAGACAATAAAATAGCCACTACTCTATTTTATATAAAGTTAAACTTTGAAAGTAATACAGTATAGGGACACAAGACGTGTTCTCTGCAAAGCAAGTTTAGTGCATTTAAAAAAGTACTAACCATCATGAAAAGAAAAATTTAGTTTTTGAGCTCTGAAAATACTGCTTGCTCTACTTCCAACTTTGTACTCTAGTTTTCATAATAAAATGAAAAAGTTAGTTAGATCTTATAGTTCAAAAGCTGGACCTGTATTAAAAAACCAAAAGCCAAGAACTAAAATCAAAAATCACATAGGTTTAAAATTCAGGAATAAAATAAAGAAGAATTAGCAGCTTTCATCCCAAGGAAATTCTCTGTATATTATGTACACAAAGGGGGAAGCAGATTAATAGATTAATTCACTCTTCCCAAAGACAGTATATAATCCAGATTGCATGCAACACAAGGGTGTCTGTCACAAGAAAATTAAGGATGAAAGAGAAAAAGGTACTCAATATTTTTACTAATATTCCATGTCCCAACTGTAAACATGCTCTATTGGAATAAATGTAAAAATATTTAATTTACCTTTTGAGTCTGAAGATAGACAAGGCTTTCTACTACAGGCACTAATGATGCTGCAGCAACAGCTCTGACATCATCATCGAGGTCCTGGAGTCCTTCAATTATTCTAGTTAAAACTTTAGGCAATAAAGTATTAATTACATCCTGTAAAACAGTACAAAATAGATTAATTTTCTATGTAACAATTATTGTATTTAAACATTTATTAAATTTGCCACATGAAACCAGACATTCTAATATTTGCTTAAAAAATCAGGAAAGGATTGTATTAACAGAGCCCTACCTAACAAATCCCTTTAAAAAAAAATTTTTTTTTTTGGACAGGCAGAGTTAGACCAGTGAGAGAGAGTGAGAGACAGAAAGGTCTTCCTTCCATTGGTTCACCCCCCAAATGGCTGCTACGGCTGGTGTGCTGTGCTGATGCGAAGCCAAGAGCCATGTGCTTTATCCTGGTCTCCCATGCGGGTGCAGGGCCCAAGCACTTGGGCCACAGCAGAGAGCTGGACTGGAAGAGGAAGAACCCAGACAGAACTGGCGCCACAGGCAGAACATTAGCCTAGTGAGTGGTGGCACCAGCCAAAAATTTTTATTTTTTAAAAGATTTACTTGAGAGGAAGAATTATAGACAGTGAGAGGGAGAAACAGAACCATCTGCTGGTTCACTCCCCAGATGGCCGCAACGGCTGGAGCTGGGCTGATCCAAAGCTAAGAACTTCTGGGTCTCCACCATGGGTCTAGGGGCCCAAGCACTTGGGCCATCTTCTACTGCTTTCCCAGGCCATAGCAGAGAGCTGGATCTGAAGAGGAGCAGTTGGGACTAGAACCGGTGCTCATATGGGATGCTGGCGCTGCAGGCAGATTAACCTACTGCACCACAGCACCGGCCCCACAAATCCCATTTTAAAATGATAAAAACAGCATTAAGTATTGTATCATTTAATAGGATTTAAAACATCAGAACAAGGGCAGGGACATTTAGGCTAGCAGTTAAAGACACCCATATCTCCAGGTTCAATATACCCAGTTCTGGCTCCTGACCCTAATTTCATGTAAATGCAGACTCTGGGAAGCAATGACTATGGGTCAAGAATTTGGGCTTCTGGCACCCACATGAAGACCTGCATTGAATTCTCAGTTACTAGGTTTTGCCCAGCTCTTTCCGGTTGCTGTGGGCATTTGGGAAGTGAACCAGTGGATGGGAGCTCTCTGTCCACCTCTCAAAACAAGCATCAAACATGTTTTCTAGGTAAGACTATAAATATCTTATGAACACACACACACACATATATACACCAGTGTTAGAACTTTAGTTTCCATTTCTCATTCAATGCCACTGACACCCAAAGGAGGTATAAGAGAATTAGGAAAGAAAAGCCATATCTTCCTGCTTCTCTTTTCTTTTTTAAAAAATATTTATTTGAAAAGCAGAGTTACAGACAGAGGGAGAAACAGAAATATCTTCCATTTGCTGGTTCATTCCCTGAATAAATGTTAAGGGCCAAGACTGGGCCAGGCCAAAGCCAAGAGCCAGGAGCTTCACCCAGGTCTCCCAAATACTCCCAGGGTCCCAAATACTTGGGTATCCTCTGCTGCCTTGCTAGGAGCATTAGCAGGGAGCTACTAGATTGGAACTGGAGCATCAAGGACTTAACTAGTGCTCATATGGGCTGCCAGCATTACTTGCAGCAGCTTAACCTGTTGCACCACACTGCTGGCCCCATGCTTCTATTTCAATCTAATCTTTTTATTTTCCCCATGATAATCAGTCCCCAGAGATCACTCCCCTGATTATAAACTAGGACTCTTACTGAGAACTGGTCATGCTATTAAACGGGTAACTTTTCAAAATCCAGGAAGGCATTTTCCATTTGCATGTAATTCTGTTTTCTGCAGAGGCTGAGAGTACAGAAAAACAGGTTGTGTTCTTAGGGGAAAACAGTAGGGAGAAGGGACTAAAAGGGACAGAAAAAGCAGAGAGAGAACACAGAGTAAGTGAGTGAGCTTGGATCTATGGGCATTAATGAGAAAGAAATGTGTGGCTGTAGAGAGGAGAGGAGAGGGGAGGGGAGGGGAGGGGAGGGGAGGGGAGGGGAGGGGAGAAAAAAAGAAAAAGAAAAAGAAAAAGAAAGAAAACCTTAAAAAAATTTCAGGGACTGGGGTGGGCATTGTTGTGTCATAAAGCCACCGCCTGCAACACCAGCATCTCGCAAGGGTGCTGGCTGGAGTCCCAGCTGCTCCACTTCTGATCCAGGTCCCCATTAATGAGCCTGGGAAAGCAGCACAAGATTGCCTAAGTGGGAGAACTGCACTGCACTCGCCTGGGAGAGCTATAAGCTACTGGCTCCTGGCTTTGGTCTAGTTCAGCCCAGATTGCTGTGGTCATTTGGGGAGTGAACCAGCGGGTGGAAGACCTCTCTGTCTGTCCCTCTGTAATTCTCCCTTTCAAGTAAGTAAAATAAGTCTTAAAAAAAAAATTTCAGGGATTAGCATTGTGGCATAAAGGGTAAGCAGCCAACTGAGATACCAGCATACCATACCTGACTGCTCCACTTCTCACCCTGCTCCCTGCTAATGCACCTGGGAAAGCTGTGGAATGATGGCACAGGTCCTTGGGGCCTTCCACCCACGTGGAGACCTGGATGAAGCTCCTGGCTTCTAGCTTCAGCCTGGCTCAGCCTGGCTCAGCCCTGGCCATTGCAGTTATTTGAGGAATGAACTGGTGGATGCAAGATCCCTCTCTCTCTCCCTCTCTTTCAACTAAGTAAAATAAACCTAAACAAAAACCAAAGGCCTGTCAGTTTTCCTTGAGATGGGGAGGTTCCATTCTGATACACAGTTAACAAGGTAAGAGAAAAGCTAGTTCAGAGTATTAAGAAGTCATAATGGAAAGTAAGGTGTGCAGTTCAATCCCATAGGCCCTGAAAATGCTGGCCAATTCTATGAAAAATTAAAAGAAATTAAACAGGTGTAAGAAAAAGCTCAGTGCTGGTCTCCATCTAGTTCCTCATTCATAATCTTTCATTCAGATAGAACATACTGGTACCCCAAACTGAAGTGCCTGGGTTCAATTCTTGGCTCTTGAGGATTCCAGCTTCCTGCTAATATATACCCTGGGAGGCAGCAGTGATGGATCAATAGGATTTCTGCCACCTATAAGGGAGACCTGGATTGATCTCCCACAGCTGTGGGCACTTGGGGTGCTCTCTCTACCCCTCAAATGTTTTTTATATACATGGATAAAAATTCCTATAACATAATCCTCCCTTTACTTTCATGCCTCTTTCTCTTCTTCTTCTGGGGCTGGCACTGTGGTATAACAGGCAAAACCACATCCCATATGGGGACTGGTTTGTGTCCAGGCTGCTCTACTTCCATTCCAACTCCCTGCTAGTGGCCTGGGAAAAGCAGTGGAATATGGCATCTCCAAGTGTTTAGGCACTACCACCTACATGGGAGACTCTGATGAAGCTTCTGGCTCTGGCCTGGCTCAGTACTGGCCATTGCAGCCATTTGGGGGTATGAATCAGTGAAAGGAAGATCTGTCTCTTCCCCCCTCTTTGTAACTCTGACTTTCCAATAAATAAATAAATAAATCTTATAAAAAAAAAAAAAACCCACAGGCATAGTGAGTAAAGCCACCATCTTCCACTTGTGATGCCGCCAACGTCCCGTATGCAGGCCAGTTCATGTCCCAGCTGCTCCACTTCCAATCCAGCTCCCTGCTAATGGCTTGGGAAAGGCAGTGGAGGATGCCCCAAGTGGTTGGGCCCCTACTACTCATGTGGGAGACCTGGAAGAAGCTCCTGACTCCTGGCTTTGGCATGGCCCCATCCCAGCTATCATAGCCATCTAGGGAGTGGCCATCTGGGAGTGATCTGGAGAGAGTTAGAGAAGATCTCTAACTCTTTCAAATAAACAAATCTTTACACACACACATAATGCTGACATACTTAATCACAGGGTCAAAGCAACTATTTGTGGAAGTTTTTAATTCTGTCAGCAAGTCTATGTTGAAACAGAGAAAAAGGGAAATGTTTTACTAGCATTTCATACTGGAGTTCTAAGCCAATGTTTCACAAACATGTAGGATGTGTACATAGATTAGCTAAAACTATTAGTTTACCAAAAAGTTTACAAATAAAATAAGCTTTTGTGGGTCAATTTAGGAACCCAATTCCTAGCCATAATATGACAAACAGCATATCAGACAGTTTACAATAAACTAAAAAAATACAACAGTTAGCACCAACTATGTGAATTTGTGTGTACTTTCATCCTACAGTATGGCAATACAATAAACCCTGTACTGTGAAACACAACCTCCAGTTTCTAGTTCTGGTACTAACCTTAACTAGCTTTGTAAACTTGAGCAAGGCATGTAACTTCTCAGAACTTGTCTCCCTATATGAAAATGGTAAGGATGCCTGCATTTTCTTTTTATTAAAGCCTTATTACAAAGATAAAACAAGAACACATTCTCAGTGTGACAAAAACATGATATTTGGTTGTCTGCTTTTATGCTTACTGTAACTTTTTCATGTCTACTTCTGTATGTATCCTGTATAATTCAGCATAGGGTCTTTTTTCAAGATTTATTTATTTGAGAGAGTTACAGAGAGAAATATCCTTCCATCGGCTGGTTTACTCCCCAAATGGCTGCTGAAGCTGGGCCAATCCAAAGCTAGGAGCCTGGAACTTTTTCCAGGACTCCCACGTGGGAGCAGAGGCCCAAGCACTTGAGCCATCTTCTACTGCTTTCCCAGGCCATAGCAGAGAGCTGGATTGGAAGAAGAGCAGCTAGGATATGAACCAGTGCCCATAAGGGATGCTGGCACCACAGGAGGTGACTTAGCCCACTAAGCCACAGCGCCAGCCCTAGCACAGGGTCTTAACAACCTCAGAACTTGTATTCAAAAATATTTAAATGAATTAAAAAAGTCAAATCATGAAAAGCAATGAAATAATTAAATGCAACAATGGATTAGAGAAGAAAAATCATCCTTGACTTTAAGGGGCCAACAACATAATTAAAAATCTTAATTTAAAAAAAATATTTATTTGAAAGTCAGAGTTGGGGTGGGGGGAGAAGTGAAGACAGAACCATCCACTGGTTCACTACCCAAATGACTACAACAGTGGGGCTGGGCCAGACCAAAGTCAGGAGCCTGAAACTTTATCTGGGTCTCTGAGGTCAGAACAAAGACCGAAGTATTTGAGCCATCTTTTGCTGTTTTCTCTAACACAGTAGCAGGCAGCTGGATCAGAAGCAGAGTAGTGAAAACATCAACTAGTACTCCAATATGAGACACTGGCATTGCAAGCAGCGGCTTAACCCACTGAAGCACAATGCCAGCCCCATGATTAAATTCTCAAGCAGTACCACCTACCTCTATTACATTGTCTTGAGAAGGCAAATCTTTGAAGGACAGGCTTATCTGTAACACTAAAAATCTAGAACCACTTAGTTTAACTAATGAAAATAAACCAAGAGAAAAAAAAACCTTCCACACAATCTTCAAAAAAAGTATTTACCTGACGAACTGCTAATGCATACTTTATTCCCAGCAGACCACCATGTCTAACTTCCCACTGTTCCTGTGTAAGTAATTTTAGCAGTACATCCACAGTCTTATGAACTCCTGTTTCATTCATGTGTTTTAAAACCACACCCAATGTCTGTGCACACGTTTCACGAACTGGTGCCACAACCTACAGATGTGAAGAAAGAAAATTTCTAATTACAAAAAACTTACTTAGTAGAATTTGAAATTTGATTGGGCAAAGTCTCACTTAGGTGATACTTACTTCATCAGAAACAAAGTCTCCAAATCTGTCTAATGCAAAAACACAAAGGAGTCTAATAACCAAGTCTTCCAACCATTCTTGGTGCTGCTGAATCATCTGTTAACACATAATCATTCTTCAATAACAGAGATCACACTTTAAAGACTGGGAGGATCACTCATTAGATTGGGGGGATAGTTTAGGTCAAAAATAAAAAATATTGGGACAGATTATTTTAAACTGTGGGGACAACCACCAAAAAGTAGATTAGTTCCAATTATTATCTTTATACTAATCACATCCTCGTTGATTGCTGATTCTTAAAATGCATGGATTTGATGTTATTTATACACAAAGAGAAAGCAATTATGTAAATTTGCTGATACAAGTATCCCTGTCATATACCTATATTAACAGTTTTTACAAACATGTTGCTCATTTTTCATCTTTCTATAAATAATTTCTTTGTACCATTCTTACTGTTTTCCTCATATTCATCTTCCCATATTTCTTATTTACCTCTCATTCCTACTGCATAACCCATACTTTTGTTACTTCCATATAATGAAAAAAAGAGGCCAACTAGCAAAACTTGATGCTAATTGTTGTTTTCATACACTTACCTCTTCTAAAGTGCTGTCTCCCATTTTACCACCACTTTTCCCATGAGCTTTAAGAATTTCCCTAAGTCCTGTGCCTGCACCATGTCGAACCTAAAAAGAACCAAGAAATAGCTGGCAGATTTTAAATGTTTAAGAAATGCAGTTTAACTTTTTTTTTAATCTGAAAAAGGGATACTACTGGACTTTTAAGAAACTAGAATAAACCGAGTGATATTTTTAGAATATATACACAAAACCAAGCTCTAAAACTAAGATCCAAAGCTATCAGTGATAAGTGCCAAAAGAAAATTCAAGAAAAATGTCTCATGGTTAATGCTTCACTATAGCCCAGGGACAAATCCCTTTTCTCAGAGATGAGGACACTTTCTCCAGTCTCATTTGAAAGAGAACAAAATTGTACACTGACACTGTTTCTACTTATTTAAGACCCCATTCAGGAACAGAAAGGCAGCTAAAAGGAATTTCAAAGGAATTTCAAAGCTGCCTCTCCTCTCTCTATGTAACTCTAATTTCAAATAAATAAATAAATCTTAAAAAAAAAAAAAAAGTGAGGGGCTGGCATGGTGGCTTAGCTGGTTAAGCTGCTATCTGTAACACAAGTATTCCATATGAGTGCCAGTTAAAGTCCTGGCTGTTCCACTTCTGATTCAGCTCCCTGCTAATGGCACTGGAAAGCAGAGAAAGATGGCCCAAGTGCTTGAGCCCCTGAACCCTTGTAGGAGAGCCAGAAGAAGCTCCTGGCTCTTGTTTTTGGCCTGGTCCAGCTCAGCCATTGTGGCCTTTGGGGAACGAACTAGTGGATGGAAGATCTCTGTCTCACCCTATCCCTCTCTCTATAACTCTTTCAAATAGATAAACAAACAATTGATTTCAGCATATGATTAAAAGGATATTAAAGGTAAAAAAATCAGTCTAAGGCCGGCGCCGCGGCTCACTAGGCTAATCCTCCGCCTAGCGACGCCGGCACACCGGGTTCTAGTCCCGGTCGGGGCGCCGGATTCTGTCCCGGTTGCCCCTCTTCCAGGCCAGCTCTCTGCTGTGGCCAGGGAGTGCAGTGGAGGATGGCCCAGGTGCTTGGGCCCTGCACCCCATGGGAGACCAGGAAAAGCACCTGGCTCCTGGCTCCTGCCATCGGATCAGCGCGGTGCGCCGGCCGCGGCGGCCATTGGAGGGTGAACCAACAGCAAAGGAAGACCTTTCTCTCTCTCTCTCTCTCACTGTCCACTCTGTCAAAAAAAAAAAAAAAAAAAAAAAAAAAATCAGTCTAAAGTTTTCTACTCAAGATGTGCCCTGGGTCCTAATAATGCCACAGGTGAATGTCAAAGTATATTGTTTTTGACACTATTACCTTCATTACCACAAAAAATAAAGCTGAAGAAACCTTACCTCCCAGGATGGATTAAAAAGGTCATTGCAAAGCTCTTCACAAAAGCTTTCCAGAGGCCATTCATTTGTCTGAATCAGAAAAAACAAATTACTACTAGTTCAAAAGGTCTACTTAATGCTAACAACTTAAGTAATTCAATAAAGTATATTTATTTATAGGCTTAGTAATAGTAATCTGGCTTTAATAATTTTTATTACTTTTTTTTTAACTTTCAGTGAAGTAAAGAAGATTTTTACCAATAAAATGTCTCTCAGCTTTATCAATACTCTGACAAAATCAGTTTGAAAAAATATAAATAATTTTAATAGACACTTTGGGTTATATTTCAATAGTACCTCTTCAATTAAGGAAGAACTTTCTGGAATATTATCAATCAAGACTTTGGAATCATTTGCAGACTGATTAATAACAACATTTGCTATTTTCCGTCTCTTTTCTTCTGGCTCCCCATCAGTGCTATCATTGCTATTAAAAAAAAAAAAAGTCACCATTTTAAAAAGTGAATAAAAGATCATATGAACCACAATGGTTTAAGAGACTCCATCTTTAGAACAAACGTTTTAGCACATTCTGCTTACATGGTTTACTTAAAATCTCATGTTACCAAATAATAAGACTATTTAATATTTTTTGAGCAAAATGGAATCCTACTACTAGATCAGTGAATTCGTCCTTTAAAGCTGGATCTCAAATTTAACACATTACTTTTCTTCATCTTCTCAACCAGCTCCCCTCCTTTTTAAACTCTTAGTCCTACAAGCAAAATCCACAGCGTGACATTAACTTTTTCAAGGTTTTTGGACTCTGGAGACAACTAATACACTGAATAATACAATATAATCTTACTAGTTCTTGGAAAATATAGAGATAATAAAAGGTCCAGAAAATTTGAGGAAATGTCACTTTATGACTTAAAAACCAAAATACCAAGACTAGCCAAATTACAAAATATTAGCAAAGAGATTAAGAAAGGAGAGGACAGGTAAAACTATCATTACTCAATATTAAAATAAACGGATCATCAGCAGATTTTAAAGCATATACAGCATTTTTTCTCTAAGTATTTCTCCTCTCTATCTCAGCAGACATGATTTGTTTGGCCAATGATTTTCTATAAAGTGAGGAAAAAGAAATCTGAGCCTCCCTAACCTCATCTTTCTTTACGTTCTCTTAATTCTCTCTAATCTGGTAGCCGCAATGGTCACCTTCCACCTTTGAATTGTTGGACATGTTTCCACTTCTAGGCAACTGCCCCCTCTGTTTGGAGTATCTTTTTAATAGATATTCACACAGCTAGTACCCTCAATTCTTTCAGATTTTCTCTAACGTCACCTCTATGAAGTTGCCCCAGACCATCCCATCTAAAATTTTAAGCTATCCCCAAAAGTCTCAGTTTGCAGATCATCTCAGATTTTAGATTTTCTGACTAGAGATGTTATGTGCTTGATTTGGCAGCACATATACAGATTAAAGACGTTCAACCTGTATATGATCATAAGTGGTTCACTTAAAAAAAAAAAAAGTAGTTAATGAACTCAATGACTTTATACTTTCTTTCCCAGAATAAGATTAAATAAGCAAGCTTGGATTATTATCCATATTAGTTCCCAATCTAGGGAACAGGTGATGTAATACCATGACAATTTGTACTTTACTAATGCAGTGAATGTTTTTAATTTTTGATCCTTAGACCATCCCTTCACTTCATTTCTATTACTCTCCATTTTGTTCACTGAATTTTCTATAAATGCATTTACACTTGTTTGCTTGGCCTGGAATGCTTTCCCTCATCTGGAACTGATAAATAGTAAGAAAAAGTAGCTGGGAGAGGGCAATTGACATAGTGACTAAGTCACCACTTGGGATACCTGCATCCCAGGAGAGCCTGGGTTCAAGTTCTGGCTCTGCTTCTGATTCCAATTTCCTGCTGATATGGACTCTAGGATGCAGCAGGTGATGGTTCAAGTATTTGGGTCTCTGCGATCCACGTCAGAGACTTAGACTAAGCTCTGCACTACTGACTTCAGCCTGGCTCAGCCTTAACTTTCCCAGGCATTTAGTGAGTGAATCAGTGGATAGAAGATATTCATATTCTCTCTCTCCCATCCCCTTTTCAAATACAATGAAAATAAATTTAAAAATTAAATTAAAAAATGCTGCACAAGTTGACATTTCTAAGCAAGTGATTTTAGTCTCTAGTAACAATACCTCTGACAACTGAGCAATAAAAATCCAAATAGTACTCCCCAGCTAAACACATCAGCAAAATGTTTTTATGCGTTAAACAGTCAAGCTACAAAGCAATATTGTTTTAAGCAAACAAGCAGAAAAAGATTACTACCTCTTCTCATTAGTTTCCACTGCATCCTTGGATCTCTGTTTCCAAAATAATTTGGCCATTCTTTTAGCTTTGTTCTTCTGTCTATTGCTCATTCCTGCTCGAAATTCTGAATCAATCAATTCAGCTGCCTGGAGAGTCTAAAAGAATAAAAGCATGCTGAGTTTGAACTTCTGAAGTTAAAATAAATACCTGTAGTCTGAGCCTCAGAAGTGGGTAAAGTCTAGCAATTCCAGTATACACAGAATGAACACAGGCTTTTTCGACAATCTCATGCTCTTCAGCTGTCTAGCCATACCATAATTTCAACCTCTTCCTCCTTTTCCTGTTCTTTCAAGTTCCAATGAATATGCATGTTTCTTAATTTTCTTATTCCACAGATGTAGTACAAATGTATGATTCTAACCCACAGAAGGTTTTGAAGAGGTGAGACGTGAAAATAACACCACTAAATGTCATGAGGATAAATGATGTCAATAAAAAAAACTGATTATCATTATCTCCTAAAAAAAAGGTTAAAAATAATTATAGCCGTAAGAGATTGGTCTAGCATCTTAGACTCAATTGAGCCCATGTGCTCCTTTCTCTTAGCCACTCACTGTCTACTTCTTTTCCACTCCTGGGATACACTGCAAAGATTATATGAAAAATACTTTAAGCCAATGCCTATAAATCCTTTCTGTGCCTAACTGTAAGAATCAAATGAAATTTACATTTCCACAAGCAAGTAAGATTACTGGTAAGGATGCTCTGCTATAGTCTTGGTCTAGGAAATATTAACACATATACAAGGCAATGCAGATGACATGAGCCAATGGAAACAGCTAACCGTAAGCAACTTCCTTCCCCTAAAGGTCTATAGTATTATATAAAGTTACTCAAACTTGAACCTTGGGGCTGGTTGGCGTTATGGCTTAGTGGGTAAAGTTGCTGCCTGTGATGTTGACATCCCATATAGGTGCCAGTCCTGGCAGCTCTACTTCCAATCCAGCTCCCTGCTAATGGCCTGGGAAAAGCAACAGAGGATGGTCCAGGTGCCCCTGTCATCCACATGGGGGATCCAGAAGAAGCTCCTGGCTCCTAGCATCGGCCTGGCCCAATCCTGGCTGTCGTGGCCATCTAGAGAATGAATCAGTGGATGGAAGACCTCTGTCTCTCCTTCTATCTCTGTTGTTCTTTTCAAATGGATGAATACATCTTAAAAATAAATAAATAAAAATAAAAAAAATCCTGGAACTTACAAACCCCAAACTGCACTGTCCATCCTGATTCCAACTATTCCGATGTCTGTAGCCCACTTTCTCTATACCTGCCAATTCATGTTATTACAACATGCTCAACTGTCCATACTATGATCACACTACTCCATTTTAAAAGATTTATGTATTTATTTGAAAGGCAGAATGAGTGAGTGAGTGAGTGAGTGAGCGAGCGAGAGAGAGAGAGAGAGAGAGAGATCATTCATCTATTGGGTCACTCCCCAAACGGCTACAACAGCGATAAGAACTCTATTTGGGTCCATTATGTGGGTAGGAGGGGCACAAATACTTGAGCCATCTTCAGCTGCCTTCCCAGGTGCATTAGTAGGAAGCTGGATTGGAAGCAAAGTAGTTAGGACTCAGACCAGCACTCTGATACGGGATACCCACATAACAAACTGGCTTAACCTGCTGCAACACAATGCTGGTTCCACATTACTGAATTTTTATTTTCTTTTATTTCATCCTGTTTTACTCTTATGGTATTTTATGCTTTATTTCTACCCAATTTCCTTCTATTCCTTCCTAATTGTCATATTTCTGCCTTTTAAAAATCTCCTTTTCCCCTTCAGTATGACAGTTTTTTCCCTTATCTATGAGTTATTCATCACAGATACCCTGATCCTAGGAAATGTAAATCACAAATTCCGATGGTTACAGGACAAACAGAATCATTCTCCACTAAAATAAATGAGAAGATGAGGGACTCATGTTTACAAAGCAGGAATTCTTATTAGGGCCGATGAGCCCCTGAAAGGATATTGGGGAAGAGGAGAAAGAGTACTTGCCCACTTCAAATTTAATATTTCATTTAAATATGCACCTTTCTAAAGGGAAGGCCAAACAGCTTTCACAAGGGCTTGAAGAGTTTGGCATAAAATAAAGTAAGGAAGCATATGTGGGGCCAGCACTGTAGCAGAGCAGGTTAAGCTACCTCTGCCTGCCAACACTCGCAACGTATACCAGTGCTGGTTAAATCCTGGCTGCTCCACTTCTAATCCAGCTCCCTGCTATTGTGTTTGGGAAAGCAACACAAGATGGCTCAAGTGCCTGGCTCCTGTACCCACATGGGAGACCTGGATGAAGCTTCTGGCTTTGGCCTGGCCCAGCCCAAGCTGTTGTGACCATCTGGGGAGTGAACTACCAGATGGAAGATCTCTCTAACTCTTTCAAATAAATAACTAACTTAAAAAAAAAAAACAGCAGCACACATGTATCCACTGGGAATATAAAGAATAGGGAGGGACCGGCGCTGTGGAGTAGCGGATAACGACGTGGTGTAGTGGATAAAGCTGCCACCTGCAGTGCTGGCATCCTGTGGGCGCCAGTTCGCATCCTGGCTGCTCCACTTCCGAACCAGCTCTCTGCTATGGCCTGGGAAAACACTAGAAGATGGCCCAAGTTGTTGGGCCCCTGCATCCGCATGGGAGACCTGAAAGAAGCTCCTGGCTCCCGGCTTTGGATCAGTGCATTTCCGGGCATTGTGGCCATTTAGGGAGAGAACCAACAGATGGAAGACCTCTCTTTCTCTCTCTCCTTCTCTCTGTGTAACTCTGACTTTCAAATAAATAAACCTTAAAAAAAAAAAAAAAAAAAAAAAAAAAAAAAACAGAGATAAGGGAGGAGAGAAAGTGAAATTATGGTATACCCACAAAGTACTATGAAGCTGGCCGGCGCCATGGCTCAATAGGCTAATCCTCTGCCTTGCGGCGCCAGCACACTGGGTTCTAGTCCCGGTCGGGGCGCCGGATTCTGTCCCGGTTGCCCCTGTTCCAGACCAGCTCTCTGCTGTGGCCCGGGAGTACATGGAGGATGGCACAAGTGCTTTGGCCCTGCACCCCATGGGAGACCAGGAGAAGCACCTGGCTCCTGCCTTTGGATCAGCGGCGGCCATTGGAGGGTAAACCAACGACAAAAGGAAGACCTTTCTCTCTGTCTCTCTCTCTCTCTCACTGTCCACTCTGCCTGTCAAAAAAAAAAAAAAAAAAAAAAAGTACTATGAAGCTGTCAAAAAAGAACATAATCAATCTGTATATACCAATAGATCAAGGTGTATCAAGTGGGAAAAGGTAAATATGGCTTAACAGGACACATACATACTTGTGTAGATACAAAAAATTTTGATGAATAATTAATTTGAAAAAGGCTACCTATGGAGGCATGGGGACATGTGTGTTCATGATTATTGGCAAGAAACTCCTTTTACTTTACGATGTATGCTTCTTTAATTATTGAAGGCTTTTTGGGCTGTATTTCTCAATTAAAAAGACTTCCATCATTTCTTCTGATTATATAGAGATATATTATCACTCACTCTACCAAAACATTACTTTTTTTCTTCACCGAAAAACAAAGGAAAAAGCAAATAGATCATTCAATCCTAGGAGCTTGTAATAGGTCTATTATAGCTTTTATCTAAAAGTCTAATGTCAGGTCAGGCATTTGCCCGAGTCTCACATTGGAGTGCCTGGGTTCAATAACCAGCTCTAGCTCCTGACTCCAGCTTCCTAGTAATGCAAATCCTGGGAAACAACAGCTCATGTAACTGAGTTCCTATAATGGCCCACTTCCAGCTTTCCAAGCAACTGGGGACTGAACCAGGGAATGGGAGCTCACTGACTTGTGCACTCTCTCCCCCTGTTTCCTTTCACTCTCCCTCCCTCTTAGAATAAAAAAAAATTCTGATATTTAGGAGGTAGACTGAGCTGCTGTCTCTGTAGAAACCGTCACCAGAAATTCAGTTTATGAAGACACTAAAGTATAAAGGTACTAAACAGCACTGAGCAGAATTAAGCACAGCTTTCTTTTTCCCAAAACTGTAACTGCACAAGCAAAATGAAGCAAACCCTTATTACTACTTGTAACCAAACAACCAAACGTTTTACCTACAGGTTGTTTGTTTACAAAGGCTGCTGAAGATGGGGTATAATCCAAATCTTCATCATTGAAGAGTTCTTCAGTACTCATTCCAATTGCTTCTCCCATATTAAGGCCAAGTTTCTTCTGTAATAGCTTTCGTTGGCGTGCTATCCTTTCTTTAGGATCCACTTCACCTTCAAACAAAAAAGAAACATATTTCTTGCAAATCAGAAGTTGTCTAATACATGCAGATCAGTCTGCAATAAAGTAAGAAAATAAACTGTTAAAACACCTCTTCTGGGGCCAGCGCTGTGGCACAGCAGGTTAACACCCTGGCAGGCAGCACCGGCATCCCATATGGGCACCGGTCCAAGACCCGGCTGCTCCACTTCCGATCCAGCTCTCTGCTATGGCCTGGGAAAGCAGTAGAAGATGGCCCAAAGCCTTGGGCCCCTGCATCTGCATGGGAGACCCAGAAGAAGCTCCTGGCTCCTGACTTCAGATCAGTGCAGCTCTGGCCATTATAGCCATTTGGGAAGTGAACCAGCAGATGGAAGACCTCTCTCTTCTCTGTCTCTGCCTCTCTGCAACTCTGCCTTTCAAATAAATAAATAGATCTTAAAAAAAAATTCTATTAAAGGTTCTTGAGTAGTTACAGTTTATAATTTCTATACTACACAACAAAATTGCTGCTGAAATACCAGTATTTATAAACTAATGATGTATATGTCAACTCAGAGAAAGAAAAATACCCACATTGTAGCTTTAGAACTGATATTGCTGGTTATCTTCCCCACCTACAGCATCCTCCTAACTTATAAACTTCAGTCAGTTTTCATTTCATGACATCATTGATATGACCAATAAACAGCATATCAGGTGACAGATTAGTTTAAAAACACAAAAATTTCACAGTGTCTTGTATAGGACTACTTACTACATACCTGATTTTTCATCCTGGACTTCAAATTCTGCACCAGCAGATCCCAACAGAGAGGCACCATGTTGTAACAATCTACATATATCAAATCTGTCAAAATTCAATCGATCTGTAGAAGATGAATCTTCCATACAACTCTCTGAAGAAGGTTCTAGATGAAGTTTAAAATTATTAATTTGACCATACAACTGAAGTGTGGAATCAAGAAAATAGCTTATCGTGACTGAAGGTATATGGCTAGTATTTTAAAAAATATATAAATGGAAGAAGTAGAAAAATGACTATTTGATTTGTTGATTAGTTCTTTGCTATGTGTGAATAAATTATGTTGGTGTCTCTTCCACAACCCATCGGAATATTGGGTAGCATATATGTAACTGTTTTCAATAATGAAAGTACAATGTTAATGACATAATGAATCCCCACATTGAAATAAAAGTGTTAAATATCATGCTGTCATCATACTGTTAAAGAGTAAAAAAATATCAAGGTAACAGCATGAGTTTACTATCAGGTTAAGCTGGAAGACAAAAATATTCATAGAATATGAATAAAGCCAATAATAAGCCTTATACTTAATATTTAAATAGTATTTATGTTAATATATATTTATAGTCTAGTAAGCCTTAATAATAATATGCTAATAATAATATGCACCATTCTTCCCTTTACCTGACGAATAGTTAGAGGACACAAAACAACTACTCCTTCAACAAGACTGCTAATACTGTATATCCACTTGAATCCTAAAAATATCTACAAAATGTTCAGCATTCCTTCCCAAAAAGGTTACCCAATTATAAATGTTATAATATATAATTTCTCAATGACTAGTTTGTTTTGCTGGCATTTGCATGTTAATTCACCTATAAACTAAAGAATAATTCCTTGACTTAGATTAAAAGGATTGTTACAAATATTTTTTTTCCTAGTGATAGGAAACAACCTCACTTAATGCAAATTTTAATGTCAGTGTAAGTTAAATAAATTTTTTTATTTGAGTTGCATTATCTGTATATGCTAAAAATAAGGTTTAATGAACTGGAAAAGAAAAGGATCTTTTCTAAAACGAGTTATACCTCCTTCTGGTTATGGATTATATTTAATGAGAAAAGACAAATAAACAGAATAATTCAAAATAGATCAGAAAATGAAAGGGGCCGGGGCTGTGGCGCACTAGGTTAATCCTCCACCTGTGGCGCCGGCATCCCATATGGACGCCGGTTCTAGTCCCGATTGCTCCTCTTCCAGTCCAGCTCTGTGCTGTAGCCCGGGAGGGCAGTGGAGGATGGCCCAAGTGCTTGGGCCCCTGCACCCACATGGGAGACCAGAGGAAGCACCTGGCTCCTGGCTTCAGATTGGTGCAGCTCCAGCCATTGTGGCCATTTAGGGGGTGAACCAACGGAAGGAAGACCTTTCTCTCTCTCTATCACTGTCTGTAACTCTACCTGTCAAATAAATAAATAAAATCTTTTAAAAAAAAGAAAAATTCTAGGCAATCCAAGATTTATGCGAAAAGTGATGATATCAAAGTGACTAAAAAATGAATCAAGTTCATTTTCTATTCTAGTTCACTTCAACATTAATTTTTCACTTAATTAAGACATACACCTTTACAACTTTCCAGAAACAACATTGTTTTTAAATGTCATTATAGTCAGAAAACAAATACAAATTTTCACAAGACATCTAAAGAGCACATAAAAATAACTGAAGACTTAGGGCTCCAACTTTCCATACATAACTGTCCTTAAATTTAAAAAATAACTACACTATAGTATTGTCCCAATAACAGGAAAAAATAAATTGCTTCAAATATTTACACAGTATTCATTTAATTTCTTAGGATATCAACTCCTTCCGGGAAAGTAATCATCTCTGTAAATCAAGCATACTATAAATTGATAATTTGAAAAATATATATGAATATATATCTAGTAGATTTTTTTTAGGGTGGGATGAAAAACATCATTTTCAATTCCAGTCTCTGGCAAAGCTGCACAGAAGAGCATGAAAATTGAGCCTTTAAATTAAATTAAAGTATAAAATACATACTACAGTTAACTCTATAGTTAGGGTTTTATTTCAAACTATTTTTTTCCAGTTAAAAGCACCTTGTTTGGCTCTTGGCACTGGATTCCACTCAGGTACATTTTTCACTATTGCTTCAACAGCTTGTCCTGCTGCAATCCGGGTATCCCAATTTGCACTCCTTAAATATATCAATACCTTAAAAAATTATAAAAGTTATATATCAAAAACTATTGTCTGCTCAAGGTAGCCAGAACAGAGAAACACAAACTTACTTGCTATTAACTTACAATTTAGCAGCTCTACAAATATATAAAAAGAACACCTTGGAATTACTAAAATCATTTACAAGATTCTACATTCATAGGAAATATCACTACCACCTTAAAAAAGAGAAATAAGAAACTTCCAATAAAATAATATTTAGGTGTATTTTAATAGCATAGCTGCTTAATTTACTAGAAGGCAAAGTACATGGAGAGAGTCCAGAGAGATGAAAGTTATATACAAGCTAGTAAAACAAGTAAGTTCAGCAAAGTTATAAGATAAAAATCAATGGACAAAACTCAGTTGCATTCCTATACATTAAATGATTTGAAAAATTAAGAAAACAATCTTTTTTACAACATCAAAAAGTAGAAAATATTTGAGTATATTTAGCAGGCATATAAGACTTGTATACCACAAACTACGAAGTACTAAAAATTCTGTTGAAAGAAATTAAAAACACAAACAGACAATTATGAATTAAAGACTTAATACTGTTAAGACTGCAACATCAAGCCAGTGTTATAGCATACTGGGTTAAGCTGCTGCCTACAATGTCACCCTCTCATGTAAGTACCAGTTCGAGTCCTCATTGCTCCACTTCTGATCCTGCTCCTTGCTAATGCACCTGGGAAAGCAGAAGATGGCCTATGTGATTGGGCCCCTGCACCCACATGGAAGACCTAGATGGAGTTCCAGGTTCGTGGCTTTGGCATGGTCCAGCCCTGGCCATTTGGACCATCTGGGAAGTCAATCAGCAGATAGAAGACCTCTGTCCCCCATTCTGTGTTTCCTCTAACTCTGACTTTTTTTTTTTTTTAAAGATTTATTTATTTATTTGAAGGTCAGAGTTACACAGAGGAGAGGCAGAGAGAGAGAGAAAGAGAGGCCTTCCATCCGATGGTTCACTCCTCAGTTGTCTACAACAGCCAGAGCTGCACTGATCCAAAGCCAGGAGCCAGGAGCTTCTTCCAGGTGTCCCACGCGGGTTCAGGGGCCCAAGGACTTGGGCCACCTTCCACTGCTTTCACAGTCCATAGCAGAGAGCTGGATTGGAAGAGGACCAACCAGGACTCAAACCGGCACCCATATGAGATGCCGGTGCTTAAGGCCAGGATGTTAACTTGCTGCGCCACAGCGCCAGCCCCTCTAACTCTGCCTTTCAAATTAATACAATAAATCTAAAATAATAATAATAATAACAATAAAGTGGAGAAAGAGACCTTAAAAAAAAAAAGGCAACATCTCCTAAATTAACAAATCCAACATAATTTCTATTAAAATCCCACCTAGCTTTTTTGCAGAAATGGACAAAAGGACTAGTCCATCATCCTAAAACTCATACAGAAATACAAAGGACTCAGAATCATCAAAATATCTTGAAAAGGAATAACAGCCTTGATACACTCACACTTAAGTTTTGGAAATTATTGAATAAGCAATAGTAACCACAAGAGTGTGGTACTGGCAAAATGATGGACATATAGATAAATGGAACTGAATTTACTGTCCAGAAGTAAACTTAAGTGTCTGTAGTCAAATAATCTTAAACAAGGGTATCAAGACAATTCAGTGGGAGAATCAGCCTTTTCAACAAATGGTGCTAGGAGAAGTAGACAGCCAAAAGAATGATGTTGAGGGGACAGGTGTTATGGTGTAATGGGTTAAGCTATCAGTTCCACATCTTTCATATCAGAGTGACTGTTCAAGTCCTGGCTCCCCTGCTTCAGATCCAGTTTCCTGTTAACATATCCTGGGAAGAAGCATATGATAGCTCAAGTGTTTGGGCCCCTCTACCCATATGGGAGATGTGGATGGAGTTCCAGGCTCCTGGATGCTACCTGGCCCAGCCCTAGCTGTTGCAGCCACTTGGGGAGAGAATCAATAAATAGAAGATAGGCTATCTCTCTTTCTCTCTCTCTCTCTCTTGCTCTTTCAAGTAAGAGAAAATAAACAACAAAAAATTTTTTTATAAAAAATGATGTTGAACATCTACCATATAACACCATATACAAAAATTAACTAAAAAATGGCCCACAGACCTAAAACTATAAATATATATATATACACAGACCTAAAACTATAAATATATAAAACTCTTAGAAGAAAACAGGGTAAATATTTATGACCTGGAGTTAAGCAATGGTCTCTGAGATGGATAACAAAAATCCAAGCGTTATTTACATATAAAAAGACACACTTGACTTCATCAGCATTAAAAACTTTGATCCTTCAAAGGATACGACCAAAAAAAATGAAGATAACTCCACAAATTATGAAGAATTATGTGTAAGTCATGTACTTGTTAAGAGGTTTATATTTAGAATAAATAATGAACTGTTACAACTCATAAGAAAAAACAAACAATCCAACAAAAAATGGGTACGGGATTTGAGTAGGCATTTCTATTATATACACATGGTCAACAAACACATGAAAAGAAGCCTGATATCATGAGTCATCAGAGAAAAGCAATTCAAACCACTTCATATTCATTAGGTCAGCTATAGTCAGAGTTAATAACAAGTGTTGGCAAGGATGTGGAGAAATCTGAGTTCTCAGACATTACTCTTGAAAATGTATAATGGCGAAATCGCCCAGGAAAAAAGTTGAGCAGTTTCTCATAATATTAAACACAGTTACTAAATGGTCTGGTAGTTCTACTCCCAAGTATACCTGAATGCCCAAGAGCATGAAAAGGCTCTGCTATTGTTTGGATATCCCCACGAAAACTCAAGTTGAAATTTAATCCCTATTGTGAGGTATTGGGAGGTGAGGCCAGGTGGGAACTGTAAAGGTTGCTTAGGATGTGAGAGCTCTGCTCTCAAGAATGGATTTATGGGGGTCAGTGCTATGGCACAGAAGGTGAAGCAGCCACCTCCAGTGCCAGCATCCCATGTGGGCACCAGTTAGAGTCCTGGCTGCTCCACTTCGGATCCAGCTCTCTGCTATGGCCTGGGAAAAGTGGTGGAGAATGGCCCAAGTCCTTGAGCCCTTGTACCCGCATGGGAGACCTGGAGGAGGTTCCTGGCTCCTAGCTCTAGGTCAGCACAGCTCTGCCCATTGCAGACATCTGAGGAGTGAACCAATGGACAGAGGACCTCTCTCCTCCTCTCTCTCTCTCTCTGCCTCTCTGTAACTCTACCTTCAAAATAAAATAGATAAATCTTAAAAAAAAAAAAAAAAGAATGGATTTATGGATCCATTCATGGGTTAACTGATTAAAAGACAGATGGGTTAATGGGTTAATCCGGAAAGTGGGTCTGTTAACAAAATTAATATGGCTCTCTGCCTCTTGAGGAGCCCTATGCCATCTCAGGACTTTGTAGACTCTCCACCAGCAAGAAGCCCCTCACTAGAGGTGGCCACCCACCCCAATACACTGTGACTTATTTTAAAACAAAATGGTCAGAATAGGCAAATCTACAAAGCTGATTTGGTAGTTGCCTGGAACTGGATATGAGAGCGGAATAGGGAAGAGTGACTTCTAATAGGTGTGAAATTTCTTTTGTGGTGTTAAAATTAGATGGTGGTGAGAACTGTTACATACAATGGTAATATACCAAATACCCCTGAAATGTACTTTTATAGTATGTAAACTATTTTTCAATAAACATGTTTTAAAAATTAGGAGGTATTCATCTTAGTGATTAAGATGTCTATGCCCCACATTAAGGTGCCTGGGCTAAATTCCTGTCTCTATCCCCTGACTCCAACTTCATGCCAATAGCTCAGATGATGACTCAAGTAACTGGGTCCCCTCACCACCACCATGTGGAGACCCAGATTGTGTTCCTGACTCCCAGGTTCTGACTTAGCCCAGTCTCAACTGTTGAGGGCAAATGGGGAGTGAACCAGCAGAAAAAAGCTCTCTTGCTTTCTGTCTTTCTCTCTCAAGTAAGTAAATACAAATATTTTAGGGGTGGGCACTTAGCACAGTGCTTAAGCTGCCACTCTGGACCAGCATCTCATATGAGTGCCTGAGATCAAGTTCTACCTCCACTTCCAATCCAGCTTCTTGCTTATGTGCATACTGGGAGCCAGCGGATGATGCCTCAAGGACTTGGGTCTCCAGCAACCACAGGGGAGACCTGGATATAGTTCCTGCCTCCTGACTTTGGCCTGCCTCAGCTCCAGCACTTGGGGAGTGAACTCATGGATGAAAGATCTCTCTTTGTATCTGTTTTTCAAATAGATAAAAATTTAAAACAAAATTTTTAAAGGCATAAGAAAACACTGAGGGCAGAAAAAAGAGGAAAGGAGACAAAAAGGTGCAAACTACAAACCTTTCATCTTTTGGAATGATTTGATGGCAGACAGTATGCCATCTGAAGTCTGAGTTTAAAAGCGCAGAACTCATTTGAAAGGCTAGAATCTTTCTCCCACTTTAGCAAAGACTAATCCTCTCCACTGTTTCCAGTTTCAGTCATTTAATTCCTCCAATTCTCCCCTGGGATGAGAAATGCATATGACTGTCTATCCTCCCACCTTACACAAGAGTATAATATTGCCTAATATGTATTCTCCTCCAATTTGAGAACATGGACCTGTAAGTATCAAATCACTGTCTCTCCATCTCCATCTTGGTCAGAAAATCCTGATAATGACTAAGTAGGGAACATGTTGGAAAGAAAGTCATTATAAGCTCTTATGGCAGCAATCATGGAGTGCAGATTTCTATCTGTTGAGAAAGGACTCAGAACGCATATGCACACACATCAGGGAGGAACAAGTAAGAATGAAAGGAGGGATCAGACTAGGGAGGGAGCAGTATCTTGAGTTTCCTAAGTCTGGGCAATCATATTACTCTTTCACCCTACTCTCCATTCACCTTCCACCATCCCCCTCTCCCCACACAAAGCACTCCTGTTTGATTTTGAATACTAGTAAGTTAAACACATGGATTTGCCACTCACTACTATACAGGTAGGTTTCAACAAGCCCACAGAATTCAGTAAAAATAAAGCCACTGCTTAGGTAAAGAACACGGGCTAGGTCTACAAAAACACTGATCCACTAAAGCAGAAAGCCTCTATTTCCAAACAGCTGATAACAAAGAAAGGATTCTGACAGCTAGCTCTCATATATTTCAATCATTGCCCAGAAGTATGTGTCCATTTGAAAATTACCAACTATGATATAATTATTAGCCATTAAGAACAAGTTAGACCACTAACAAACCAGATTAACAACTCAGTTCATCACCAAACTGGGTCAGATTCAAATTTGCCTACAGGCAAAAAGTTTTATGTTGTCAAATCCCTCAATCAATCAAACTTGATTCAAAAAATTGTTTACATCTTGTGGCCAAAAAAAAAATTTAGTGAAATTTTAAAAAATTTTGGAGACATATTTAGATATTTAACAGAATTTAGAGATTTCAAATTGTTACTTAAATAGACTAAGATGAATCCTACCTTCAATTTTGTATTCCTAATCCATGGACATATGTATAATTATACTAAAAGGAAAAAAAAAGTTCTTACTTTAGATAACAAATTATTTAGTTCATGAGGATGAAGCTTCACCACTTCTCCAAGTTGCTGTGCAGCAGCTTTTCTTGTAACAGGAGTAGTGCCAGTATCCAGTAAGATAAAAAGACGATCAAGCCTAAAATTTAAAAAATGGTTAATCTGAAATTTGTGTCCTCATATATATAAAGATGAGTCAATAAATGTATAAAGTAAGTAAATAAATGTATAAATAAAGTCAATAATTCTATAAATGAAAACCTATACCAAGAATGCAGGAGATACCTAATTTTCGCTCTTAGGGAACTTGCTATTGAGGATGGGGGAAGCAGGAAAGTACACACATAATTGTAATACAGGGCACAATAAGATACATGACAGAAAAGTAGTATGAAGTGCTCTGAGGAATGTGAAAGAGAAAAACAAATACTATATTTCCAAGTGTGTAATACTGAAAAGGCTTCCTAAAAAAATGATGTTTGAGATGGATGTTAATGGTAGGATTTCAACACTAGGAGAGATGAGGTGGTGAAAGCAGAGGAACTATTTGGAAGAAAGAACAAGAGCACAACAATAAGGAAAGGAAGAGTACATTTAGTTAAGAGAATATAGCTCAGTTTAATTCAGAGTACACTTAACAGAACAGTGAGAAATAAGGGTATAAAAGTAATTGGAGAGGCCGGCATTGTGGCATGGTGGGTAAAGCCACTCACTACCTGCTATGCCAGTATCCCATATGGTACTGGTTCTTGTCCCAGCTGCCCCACTTCCGATCCAGCTCCCTTGTTAATGGCCTGGGAAAAGCAGCAGAAGATGAGCCAAGTATTCAGGCCCCTGCCACCCACATGGAAGGTGGGGAAGAGGCTCCTGGTTCAACCCAGCCCAGCTTCAGCTATTGGGGCCATTTGGGGAGGGAACTGGGGATGGAAGATCTGTCACTCTGACATTCAAATAAATAAATAAACCTTTAAAAAAAATTTTAGGGCCTGTGCTGTGGCACAGGTTAACCCTCTGCCCGCGGTGCTGACATTCCATAGTCCTGGCTGCTCCTCTTCTGATCCAGCTCTCTGCTGTGGCCTGGGAAAGCAGTAGAAGATGGCTCAAGTCCTTAGGCCCCTGCACCCGTGTGGGAGACCCAGAGGAAGCTCCTGGCTTTGGATCGGCTCAGCTCTGGCCACTGCAGCCATTTTGGGAGTCAACCAGTGGATGGAAGACCTTTCTCTCTGTCTCTCCCCCTCAATGTCTGTAACTCTACTTCTCGAGTAAATGAATAAAATCTTTTAAAAAATAAAGTAGTTGGGGCCTTATTATAGAGACCTATAATATGGGGCAAATATTATTATGAAAATAAAAACATTAATCTGGCAGCAGCATGAAACTTACAGTGAAACAGAAGAAAGCTTTTAAAGAACTTTAGGCTGAAAGTGTGGACCTGAACTATGATCCTGGCAAGAAGAGTAGAAAAAAGTTGGCAGAAATTATGCTGAAGCAAAACACACAGGGTGTGGTAATTAAGTTAAATGTTAGGCTAACTAAAGGATTCTGAGATTCTGAATCTTAGAAAAAGATGTTGTTAGCCGGCGCCGTGGCTCAATAGGCTAATCTTCCACCTTGCGGCGCCGGCACACCGGGTTCTAGTCCCGGTCGGGGCGCCGGATTCTGTCCCGGTTGCCCCTCTTCCAGGCCAGCTCTCTGCTATGGCCAGGGAGTGCAGTGGAGGATGGCCCAGGTGCTTGGGCCCTGCACCCCATGGGAGACCAGGAAAAGCACCTGGCTCCTGGCTCCTGCCATCGGATCAGCGCGGTGCGCCGGCTGCAGCGGCGGCCATTGGAGGATGAACCAACAGCAAAAGGAAGACCTTTCTCTCTGTCTCTCTCTCTCACTGTCCACTCTGCCTGTCAAAAATTAAAAAAAAAAAAAAAAAAAAAAAAAAGATGTTGTTAAAAGAAATGGGAAGAAATGGGAAGAATTGGAGGAGGAAATGTTAATGAAAAAGATAACAAGCCCACTAGGGATATGGGCAGTTCAACTAGTAAAGACTAAAAAGGATAGATGCAGTAGAAAATTAGAAGGGCCTGCGACACTCACATCCCATATGGGCGCCAGTTTGAGACCAGGCTGCTCCACTTCAATCCAGCTCCCTGCTAATGCACCTGAGAAAGCAGCAAAAGATGGGCCAAGTGCTTGGGCCCCTGGACCCATGTGGGAGACCCACAAGAAGCTCTGGGCTCCTGGCTTTGGCCTGGCACAGCTCTGGCTGTTGCAGCCATTTGGGGAATGAACCAGCAGATATAAGATATCTCTCTCTGTGTGACTCTGCCTTTCAAGTAAAATTAGCATTAATGTTTAAACAAAACATAACAAAACCAAAAAACAACTAAATTTCAGGAGGAAGTTGGGACTAAAGGTATATAGTTGGGGGCCAGTGCAGTGGCATAGCGGGTAAAGCCGCCACCTGCAGTGCTGGCATCTCATATGGGTGCCATTTCAAGTCCCAGCTGCTTCACTTCTGATCCAGTTCTCTGCTATGCCCTAGGAAAGCAATAGAAGGTGGCCCAAGTCCTTGGGCCCCTGCACCTGTGTGGGTGACCAGGAAGAAGCTCCTGGCAGCCGGCGCCCCGGGTTCTAGTCCTGGTCAGGGCACCAGATTCTGTCCCGGTTGCCCCTCTTCCAGGCCAGCTCCCTGCTGTGGCCAAGGAGTGCAGTGGAGGATGGCCCAAGTACTTGGGCCCTGCACCCCATGGGAGACCAGGAGAAGTACCTGGCTCCTGCCATCGGATCAGTGTGGTGCGCCGGCCGCGGCGGCCATGGGAGGGTGAACCAATGGCAAAGGAAGACCTTTCTCTCTGTCTCTCTCTCTCACTGTCCACTCTGCCTGTCAAAAAAAAAAAAAAAAAAAAATTATATATATATATATATATATATATATATATATATATATATATATATAAAAAGCCGCTCCTGGCTTCCAATCAGCACAACTCTGGCCATTGCAGCCATCTGGGGAGTGAACCAGTGTATAGAAGATCTCTTTCTCTTTCTCTCTCTCTCTGCCAGTGCCAGTGCCTCTGCCTCGCTATAATTCTGCCTTTCAAATAACTAAATATTTTTAAAAATTTAAAAAGCATATATTTGTACAAAGGTATTTGAGTCATTTTAGAGGTGACAGATATGGCAATAAATCAGATACCTGAAGTTTTAAAGTCATTTAAAGCATAATGTCAACGTTCTAGAGTCACAGTGCATCACTCAAATTCCAGTTCTGCCACTTATGAACAAAGTCTTGGATAAAATCACAATGTCATACACGTGGAGTTAAGGGGCAGGTGGAAAACTCACTTTTTCTTTTTAGGATACAGGTAAATTCCAAGTTGCTTTTTAAAAAAAAAAAAAAAAAAGATCTATTTATTTATTTGAAAGGCAGAGTTAGAGAGACACAAAGAGCAAGATCTTCTATCTACTGGTATACTACTCAAATGGCCATAACAGGCAGAGGTGGGCTAAAGCCAGGAGCTTCATCCAGGTGGGCCATCTTCTGCTGCTTTCCTTAGCACATTAGCAGGGAGCTGGATCATAAGTGGAGCAGCCAGGACTCAACTTGTTCATATAGGATGCTGGCATCAGAGGAGGTGGCTTAATCCACTGTACCACAATGCTTCTCACCTTCTAGAATATGTTCCTTTTACTTCTAAGCAGCCTAACAAGTATTTAACAACTTCTTTTATATCCTCATCATACAAAATTTAATCCTTATGAAGTTTTTTTCTAAATGAAATTTTATTTATTTGAAAGGCAGAGTTAGAGAGAGAGAGAGAGAGAGAGAGAGAGAGAGAAAACACCAGAGAGTAAGAAAAAGATCTTCCATCTGCTGGTTCACTCCCTAAATGGCCACAACAGCCAGGAGATTTATCCAGGTCTCCAATGTGGGTGCAGTGGCCCAAAGACTTCAGTCATGTTCTGCCGCTTTCCCAGGCACATTAGGAGGGAGCTGGATAGGAAGAGAAGCAGCTGGGACTCAAACCATGGCAAATAGGTGATGCTGGGATTGCTGGCAGTGTTTTAACCTATTAGGCCATAACACCTGCCCCTCTAAATGAAATTTCACCAGTGTCACCAATGAAATCTTAAGCTACAAATTGTTCTGTCATACATTTTTTTATCTCTTTAATGACATCTGATACCAGCAAGAGTCCCATTCTTAAAATACTTTCCAGGGGCAGGCATTTAGCCTGGTGATTAAGACACTGCTTGGGACATCTGCAGCCCATTTCAGAAGGCCTGGCCTTCATGCCCAACTCTGGCTCCTGACTCCACTTCCTGCTAATGCAGACTCTGGGAGACATACTCACTCCGTTTGTGTGTCTCTCCAAAACGAAAAAACAAAGTTCGTGGGAAAAGGGAATTAAAAGATGTTTATATTTAAATAAAAAACTTTGTGTCCTAGATTTTCACATTAATGTACCCTGTTTTTCAAACCATTCTTTTTTTGGTTCTCCTATTCTTACCAATCTTAATATGAACATTCTTCCAAATTTGAGCCCTGGCTGTGCATCTCTTACTAGTTTCTCCCTTAGCAAATTGTATACTATTGTATTTGCTTAAATTAAACCCACTACAAATAACCCTCAAATCTGGCCTATTTGGGAACTCCAGTGCCATACTTCCAACTACCTGGTGAACATAACTCCAAATGAAATATGATGCTGTTGCCAGGTCTACTTTCTAAAGCATCCTTTGATAAAATCACTTACTCTAAAATCTACAAATCAAATCAAATCTTACTCTAAAACCTACAAAGGCTCACCCTCACCTACCAGAGAATAATCCAAAGAACAGGTTATCCCCCAAATATGGCTCTTATTGGTTTCCAAAATTTTTCTATTAGCATTATTTTCTCTATTTAGAATGTTTTCAAGTCAATCCTTCAGCTAACTCTCATCAAGATGCAGCTAATGTCCTTTACCTTTACCTCCTTGAAATCATTTCTGAGTACTACACAATAAAAGAATGCTTCCTCTTCTGAAATCCACATAAATCCTCATCTTAAAAAGTCATTTGGGTACACATTATGCTTTTGGAGGGGGCTTCTCTTAATGTATTATGATGTCCTATGTGCCTCATTGTTTCACCTCCCCACAG